ATCATTTTCCAAAATGGTTGTAGCATTTTGCATTCCCACCAGCAATGCATAAGAGTTCCGATCTCCCCGCAGCCCCTCCAACATTTGTTATTTCCAGTGTTTTTGATTCGTGCCATAGACTGTAATCTTTACGGGAGCAGATTGCCAGGTCTTTCTTCTGCAGAGCCACTGACTGGCTTCGAACGGCCAACCTTTTGGTAAGCAGCCAAGTGCTTAACTGTTGCACCACCAGGGCTCCTTTATAAATAAGGTAGCTGATTCAGTACAAATCACCAGATCTTCTTGGCCTAGTGTATTGAGAAATCTTCCTCACTCACCTATTTACTTTTAGAGTTTTAAAGTTTTGCGTTAGCTTAGTTTATATTTCTTCAGGTCAGATCAGTGTATTGTACTTTATAAACAGCAGCTTCCACAAAGGGTGAAGGAACTGGATTCTTAGCAGCCAAGAACAGGAACTGTCCTGTTACAGAAACTTGAGATGGGGCTTGGTAGAGTCAGAGGGGAGTCAGCTGTAAAAGTAACCATAATTTTTTTGCATTCATATGAATGCATTCTTTGCTCTAACGGTGATTAAATACATTTGTGACATACTGGGATAGAGGGAGAGAATTAGCATTTTGGACCTTTGAGCTATGTATGTTTATTTGAAATTTGGTAGAAAAAATGTGATTTGGTATACAGTTAATATTGAAAGTATTTCTGTACTTTGTGACCAACAATCATAGTCAGTCCTATTCTGGAATAATACAGGATTTAATGAACTAACACATCCATTCCTTACAAAGTTAAGTATACCGTAACTTGATATTTTTCTCAAGATGGAAATTTGATACTAATGGCTTGGAAGATGCGTAAGAACTTCAGAAGAATGATGTTTTGTGAAATATTAGGATGAATTAATGTTATAAAACAGATGCTACAAAGTATAAAATAATGTTTGAGTAAAAGTATGGAATAGAAGGCTTCTAAAAATTTTTTTTTTTTTTTTTTTTTGCTTTATTCATCAGTATAATTATATGGAAGTGAAACGTTCACTTTATTATGCTGCTGTTAGCTGCCATTAAGTTGACCCCTGACTCATGGCAACCCCATGTGTTACAGAGTAGAACTGCTCCATAGGATTTTTTTGGCTGTAATCTTAGCAGAAGCAGATTGCCAGGTCTTTCTTCTGTGGAGCTGCTGGGTGGGTTCAAACCGCCAACCTTTAGGTTAGTAGCCAATCTGAAGCTGCTTGTGCCACCAGCATTACAGTGATTAAAGTAAGGTGTAGACCCATCAGAAAACTGCCTTATTTTTTAATCAGAATACCCTTTTAAGAATATCCTTTCTCTTCTAATTTTATACCTTTAGCTTATAGGAGCTCAATTAGATGAAGAAACAAGTTCTGTGGGACGAGAACAAGTAAATAAGGCCTACCATGCATATCGAGAGGTCTGCATCGATAGAGATAATCTGAAGAGCAAATTGGATAAAATGGTAAGTTGGTTTAAGAAGAGTTATCTCTAGATTAGAAATGGATTTTCTCCTTCCAAAGCTTAAAGTTAGCCATAAAAGGTTAAATATTTTACATTTGTTAAATAAAAATGTAGATGCTCAGGGCAAAAGTGGAATTTGTTATGATATTTGTAACTTATTTCTGTACAAAATAAATACTTAGTATGTAATGATGTTTAAGCCTTAAATATATCTGGCACTACTAACTTATTTTGAAAAATCATGCCATGGTAGAATTTGTCATTATGTTAAAAAGGGAAAAAAAGCCAGTGAAGGAAATATGCCCTAAGTTAGAAAAAGGAAGGAAGACAAGATTGATGAGAACTGTTTATTTTCCCATCTTGCTTTTAAAGGCTAGAATGAGTTTTTTTCAGTCTGTACCCGAAAAAGAAGATATAATACCAACCTATTGATTTTGTTGAATGTAATTTGGCATTTTCCCTACTTAACTAGAATAAAGACAGCTGTGAATCGTTGAAAGTATTGAATGAACAGCTACAGTCTAAAGAAGTAGAGCTCCTCCAGCTGAGGACAGAGGTGGAGACTCAGCAGGGTATGCCACTTAGTTGTTCTGAATATTCTAACAGAATTGATGCATTCGTTCTTTCTGTGTTATCTCCATTAGCAACTGTCTACATCTGTCTCTAAGACCTTACTTTCTAACTTTTAGGCTTATGTTAATTTCTCTGTTCTGCTTTCATAAAATATCAGCTCATTTTAACTTTCCCTTGCATATAAATTGCACTTTTCTGAGAGAAAATATACTGATTTTTCTTCAGGGCTAGTTTTGTGATGACATAGAGGAGGAGAGGAGCAGTCCCCCATCCTCATCAAAACCTCTTCCCCTGAACTTTCCCTTCCTACTGAATCCATGTCTACACTGTCATGGAATAGTTACAACTGCTTTTTTACTTATTTTTTTCCTTTCTGAAGATTGTTAAAATGTGCAGATGTGATGTTGGGGTGGAAAGTCAGGTCTGAGGGATATGGCTGGTAGCCTGTACCCATGAACACTGACGCGTGGGCCTTTAAGAGACCTTCTGATAGGAGTTGAGATCTCAGGATAGCTGGTTGGGGGTGTTTCAAAATAGAGAGATGAAGGTATTGAGTATTGTGTTCAAGGTCAAGAATAAAACAGTATCCAGTTGTATTGAGTTTTCTACTTTGAAATGTTTATTATAAAATTGTTTTGACACCATGCTATTCCATGTTCCAGGCCTGATGGTCAAACTTTATACTCCCTGAAGGGACCAGATGAAGTGATTAGCTGAGTGCACTTCAGTTTATTATTTATATCACTGTGGTAGCCTTTACTTATGAAAAATAGGAGATTATTATTTGTGTACAATTCTAGCATATGCTTGATTAGTGTAGCATCTTTTAAAATTCCAGACTGGCATATTTGTACTTTAACCTAAACAGAAATGGGGGGTGGCAGTGAGTCATACATTCTAAACCAAAATTACTAGATTTCCTATTCTCATTAGCACAGATCTTTGAAAGTCATTACTTTTGTTTTTAATTATTATACATGTTTCATACTAGCATTTCTATTATCTTCACCAGCATAACCTTCTTGGGATTGCAACCAGTATAGAACGATAACAGTTTTGATGCCTGTCCTTTTTGTAGTGATGAGGAATTTAAATCCACCGTCAGCAAACTGGGAGGTGGAAAAGTTGAGCTGTGACCTGAAGATCCATGGTTTGGAACAAGAGCTGGAACTGATGAAGAAAGAATGTAGCGATCTCAAAATAGAGCTACAAAAATCCAAACAAATGGTACTAAAGAATTATTAAATTGAGAAATTCAGTATTCTGTGTATATTATGTAGGATTTATAGTTGGGTATTAAACCATAAGGAGCCCCGATGGCACAGTGGCTAAAGCACTTGGCTGCTAAGTGTAAGGTTGGCGGTTCCAACCCACCAGCTGCTCCACGGGACAAAGATGTGGCAGTCTGCTTCTGTAAAGATTCACAGCCTTGGAAACTCTATGGGGCAGTTCTGCTCTATCCCATAGGTTGCTATGAGTCGGAATCTACTCGATGGCAATGGGTTTGGTTTGGTATTGAACCACAGAGTTGACAGAAATCTTAACTACTTAGAAAGGGAATGTTCTTATTCTCCGAACAATCCATGTTTATCTACCTTTTAATCATTTCTGCTAAAATTTTATATACTCTGTACTTTTAGCATGATTCCATAATAATATAATTGTGTTGCTTAAAAAAAAACTTAAAATTTATTTATTATAACCAGGGCTTCCAACCAGTTTGTTCTGGTTCGAACCCCTGCTGAGAATTTCCACCCCAGATATACTGAATCAAAATCTACATTTTAACAAGATCCCCAGATGATTCTTATGTATAATAAATTTTGAGAACCACTTGTCTACTAGTGGTTCTCCGAATTGGTCCCTAACCAGCAGCATTAGCATCACCTGGGAACTTGTTAGAAATGCAAATTCTCAGCAGGGGTTCAAACTGGAACAAATAGTTTCATGCCCCAAATAACTCTAACTCCCCTTCCTTGGATTTCCTTAAGTCAGTTTTTTCTCTGTAAAGTTCTAAAGAGAACTCAGGTTTCAAATTTCCCATTTTATTTAACTTAATATTTTGATTAACCTAGACACCACAAGAGGCAACTTGGTTTTTAGAATTCTTTAAAAAAGAAAGAAATTTGTTTTTTTTGCAGAGCCCAGTTCAAATCCACCAGCCGCTCCTTGGAAACACTATGGAACAGTTCTACTCTGTTCTATAGGGTCGCTGTGAGTTGGAATTGACCCAATGGCACCTAAAAACAACAACTTCTAATTCAGAAGTCTTAATAAATTTTGGATAACTTTAACTATCAACGAACAGCTGAGAATTGAGGAACTGGGGAGGGGGCAAATCCTCTGCTGAATTGCTGAGGTGTGGTTAGCCTAAAGTCACCCACAGAACCACAGGCTGCTTCTCAGGTCCTCACCAAGAGTCTGTGTACTATCATACTTTAACGTTCAAGTCTGACAAGCTTGGATGTGTGCCCTGCAGATGTCATAACAGATCACTTCGAGGATTAAAAGAGGAATTGATATAGAAGCAGGGAAATGAGAGAGCAATGCACCATATGCAAAATTTACAATAGTTGTTACAAGACATTGAGGAGCTTAGCAGTCTGGAGTCAAGTAGCCATATACTTCAGTAGCCTCTGTGGACATTCAGAGGAGCCCCATTGGCGCAGTGGTTAAGTGCGTGGCTGCTAACCAAAAGGTTGGCGTTTCAAACTCAACCAGCTGCTCTGCTCCATGGGAGAAAGATGTGGTAGTCTTCTTCTGTAAAGATTACAGCCTTGGAAACCCTGTGGGGCAAATCTACTCTGTCCTGTAGGGTCACAGTTAATTGGAATCGAAATCAATGGCAGTGGGTTTTTGGTTTTTTGGACATTTCATGTATTTCAAATCAAGGGAACCATTTGTATAATTGTTACTTGGTTCAACCATTTTGCCTACTAGAACATTCCAGCACTGTTGAGGGACTGTGTCTCTACCTTAGATTCCTGTGAGATGTCACCATCTGAAAGAACTACTTCCCAAACTTGCTGACTGCCAGCCAGGACTCTGCCCCTAAATCCCCAGCATCCTTAGATGGAGCTTGACACCACTACTTCTATGCTGTAGTCTTTATCAGAGTTGATGACCAGATAAGAATGAACCAAGTGTTAAGAGTAAGATAGCATTCTGCCACGGCCTTAACGAAATGATTCCTTTGCCCTGGTGAGTGAGAACTTACTTTGGAGCCCTGGTAAAAAGGAAGCACTTATACTAAAAGTTGTGTTGACTCTTGTTAGAGCTAACCTGTTTTTTTCCTGTTAGACATCTGAAGTTAATTTTGATCTGTGGCCATACTCCACAGTTCCATCAAAGGCTCTCAGCATCTCGTTCCACAAGCCCAGTTGCCTTAGCCTCAGTGGCCTCATAAAAAGATGTGCTTGTAAGAAAAGCCCTGCACCTTGCAGCTCTGAAGTATACGTTGTTAACATACAGTATTTGAAAGGAAATAATGTAGTAGCTTTTATACCTAGTATTTATTGCATTGTAGAAGCAGTACTGGTTAAGAGTACTAGCTTTGGAATCATAAAAATCCAGCTCATAATTGTGTTTTGCTTATTAGCTGTTCTGAAGTTGTTTTATGTAAAATAGACATTAAATAGCTGTTTGAAGGTTACATTAGATAATATATGTACAGCAGTTAACATATTGGTAGTACGCAGTGTTTTCAATAAGTGAGAGTTAAAAAACAAAACAAAAAACCCCAAAACCTTATTAGGGTAATCCAGAAAAGCAGTGCTTTTAGATGGGTACGTATGAATTTGGTTATAGTTTCAGTTCTTAGTAGTTACTCTTTTCCACTAGATGGAGCTAGGGAATACATTTTGCTTTTAGTTTTATTCAGTATCATAAATCACAGAAACAGACTTTAAGAAATAGAAGAAACTTTAGAAAAATCACTTTTCTTTTACTGATGATGAAATTGAGCATGAGAAACTAAGTAACTTTAGGGGCCAAAGACGAGATAAGGAGGGAATATTTAAAAAGATTGAAACACGGTCCCCAGTTTTACGATTTATTTTTGGTTTGGAGGGGAGGAGATATGAACTAAAGAAATAGTCACAACTAAAACAAATAAGTGAACAGAAGTGCTTTATTTCAGTGTATGAAGGGTTCCAAGTTGAAGTCTTGATGTTATGGGATGTGTACGTTTAAATCGTGTTTCAGTGGTGTTGCTGACCACAATCCTCTGCGATATGGGAATCAAAGCAGGCCACGGAGAGGAATTTATGTTCACCTTAATAGTTTTGCTTTACTTTCTGTAAAACATTATTTTATAGCATTTTCTGAACTGTATAATAGCATCTGTCATTGACATAATACTAAGTTTTCGTTTTTTTTTTTTAGTATTTAATGAACTCAGCTGATGATTAGTGTCTGGCATTAGTGAGGTCAGGGTTCCAGGGTCAATTCTAGACACTGCGAGCCTTTTAGACTTCTTGCATCCCTGAATTTTCCATCTATTTATATTCACAACAGTTGATCCTCAGAAAAGCAGACTCTAGGGCCAAAGAAATAGAAGAACTAGGTCAGTAAAGTGGAGTTTATTTAGAAGACTTGTAAGGCCCGTAAGGGATTCACAATGTGCTATATAGTGTATTAAAGGTTGTGAGAAGTCCTGTAGTATAGAGACCTGTTTACCTTGAACATTGTTTCCAAGATTATGTGACCACGGGGCCCTGCTTATGTCAGACTCCCACTTCGTATGGCACTAGTGTCCTGTAGACACGTTGGGAAAGAAATCCATTTCCATCTTTAGAAAATGGCAAACTGATGACTGTCCAGGAGCAGGGTCTTTGAAGATTAAAGAAAATCCCTTTGAGCGTATTGCTGATGTACGTTAGATTTTCTGAATTTTTAGGAGGTTAGCTGGAAGAATACTTTTCCATCCAAATGCAGATTTTTTTATATAATTGACTTAAGAATGAGGGAGATTTTTATTGTTTATAATACGTTTAAGTATACACTAGTTATAAATATTATTTAAAAATTAATGACACAAGGAAACTGAAAATGACCTGATAATGATTCTTTGATTTCCTTTGGAGAAGAGGGAAGAAAAATGTCCAAAGTCATGTGCCTTGTTTAGTGGTCAAATCTCCCCTAACTTGAGGACCAGTTCTCTTCCCCCTCTCCATAGGACCTCCTAAGATGCAATTTAATTGTTAATTTCTACAGTAGTTAATCGGTATTTTCGAGAGAATCAGAAATCCAAAATGCCTTAACTCCTATAATGCAAAGTATTTTTCATATTTAACTTTCCCAAGTTCACAGTACTCATGAAGTCTTGTGCAGCTTTTAATGGTCAACATTAAAACATATAAGAGATTACGTAAGCAAGAAATAATAAAATTAAATTTTGTTCTCTTCACAGCCCACTTCTGCCATTAGAATTAGTACTTGTGATAGCCATTTTTATGTTACAGACCTTTAAAGGAGAATGCATTGCAGGCAGTTGTACAGAGTTGTCTTAAATATATTAAGTCCACATTTAAATACCCTTTATAGGTTCTTTCTGTCGTATCTACCACCTAAACTACTAACACTTAAAAGTATACAAGGACTTTACGAAGTCCTTGCAAATGGTGAATTAGAATTCATAGCAAGTTATTTTGTTGTCTGTGTGGAAGGAAGAAAGTTACACTGATCCTTTTAAACAGTAACCTGTAAACTTTGGCTCTTTTTTGTAATAAAAAGAGTGAAATACCAATACACTTCCATTTCTCATGGAATTCCTTCATCTGTATCTTGAAAAAAACAGTAATTTGAGAAGAAAGTTTTTACTGTCATTGAATACAGATTTCAGATTGGTACCCTCAGAAATAATATATGAGACTCCAAATTCTTTTTCATGGGACCAGTTTTATTTTTAAATAAAACTAAAGCATTAATGTCTTTAAATAATTGGAAGTAATTTAGAAATATCTGATACAGGTTGTAGGTATTTCAGTGAAATTGAATAAAAAATCTAGTCTTATGCTGTAGAATTACAGATGTATTCTGTAAAAGCTGAAAACATCTCTGGCAGTAAATTCTTGAAAAGTAATATAACAATTACAACATTTTAAGTTTTTCTTTTTTTTTTTTTTTTAAAACAAATGACAGGATCTGTCTCAAGAAGACAATCTGAAGAGCAGGGATCTCCAAAGACTAAGCATTTCAAGGTATGACCATTCTTCAACATTAAAAATACATGTTCTCTTCTTCTGTAGGCCACTTTGTGTAGGTACTTAGGTTTCTGTTATGATTTTATCTTGAAAAAAAGAAGAATGGATACTGAATGTAATCTTTGACCATCATATATTTTAAAAAAAGTTTAACCTATTAACAATAAGCTTGAACTTTATTAGTAGAAAAGCCCATATGTGATGCCTTAAACAAAAATTTTGAACATCTGGTAATATTTTAAATATAATTTTAAAAAGCTAGGTATGTAGAGGTATTCTGTAAGAAATCCTGATTTTGTGCTTAAAGAACTGTACATTCCAGAAGAAAACAAAAGACACAAGGAAAATTTTAGTCCAAAGGACTAATGGACCAAATGAACCACAGCCTCCACCAGCCAGAGCCCAGAAGAACTAGATGGTACCTGGAGACTACCACCAACTGCTCTGACAGGGATCACAATAGAGGGTTCCGGACAGAGGGGGAGAAAAATGTAGAACAAAATTCAAATTCACAAAAAAAGACCAGACTTACTAATCTGACAAGAGACTGGAGGAACCCCTGAAACTGTGGCCCCTGGATACCCTGCTAACTCAGAACTGAAGCTACTCCCCAAGTCTACTTTTCAGCCAAAGATTAGACAGACCTATAAAATAACAACACATGTGAGGAACGTGCTTCTTAGTTCAGTCAAGTACACGAGACCAAATGGACAACACCTACCCAGAAGCAAAGAGGAGAAGGCAGGAAGGGACCGGAGAACTGGATGAATGGACATGAGGAGCCTGGGGTGGAAAGGGGGAGAGCGCTGACACATTGCAGGGATTGCAACCAATGTCACAAAACAATTTGTATATAAACTTTTGAATGAGAAGCTAATTTGCACTATAAACTTTCACCTGAAGCACAAAAGGGGGAAAAAAAAAAAAAAAAGAATTATTATCCATTCCAGTAATATCCCTATCTTAAGGGCAAATTTGAACAATTAAATCTTTTGTAAAGCATGAACTATCCTCTTAGGGTAAAAACAAAAGTAGCTATCAGATTTCATGTACTTTACTTCAACCTTTTTTTCTCAAATGTATCATATTTACTTAAGTTACGTGCTTTAAATTTATCTGATAATGTTGTTTCTGTTGTATTAGCATGGCTTCTCGATGCAGATACCCTCCATCCAGTGATACCCTCCATCCAGTGAAAACTAAACAGATTTGACTTAATTGTTAAACCTTGTTTGATTATTTGGCTTCCAAAGTTTACTGACCTAAGTAAATAATGTGAATTGTCTCCTACCTTTCAAAACCAGACTTGGGAGAAATGATCAAGGGAAACAATTTGAGAAAATGATATCCAGCCAATCTTGAATATGAGCAGTGGCAAGCTTTCTCTCATAACGGGCCAGCTAGTAAATGTTTTGGGCTTTGTGGACCATACAGTCTCTGTCAGAACTACTCAACTCTGCCATTCGAACTGTACTTCACTTATGCCTTCAACTTTTACAGCAAGGAAGTTTATCCTTTTTTTAAAAACAAAAAAAACCAAGTGTCTAGTACAATGTCTGTGTAAGCTATTTCTCAAGGTTGTAGAGAAGGAACATTTTTGCCTTAAAGGACTTGCTTTTCATCTCAAATTATAAAAGTTCTGTGACCCATGTGATATCATTTAAGCATATCTTCTTTTCTCCAGTTAACCTAGGTGTCTTACTAATTTTGCTATATTTGTCAATTTTATAAGGTACTTTAAATCATTTTGGAAAGAGGCAGGGAACAAATAAATATGTTAGAGTCAGAGTTGGTCAAATAAAGGGGCTGTGTTGTGTATGAGAAGTACATGATATAGAATGAGACTTCTCTCACTTATGTGGGGATTATTTTAATTTTGATCAACAGTTTCACTGAGAATAACTTTAAAAGCTGATCACCCTCCAAAAAAATATGTTTGAAGGCATCACGTAATTTACAAGATAGTGAAGAATTTATAGGCTAGGATTTAAGGGAGGATTAAAACCCAAGGAGGTAAACCCAGTTTTTTGAGGCTGTTTTTCCCCTGGAAGCATTTGCTGAGTTTTGAAAGGGTGCTTTTTGACAGTCTCAAAATGGGCTAGGTGAACAGGGATTGGAATCCAGTGCCACGGGCACGGAGTTGGCCTTGGTGAAGTCACCTCCCATTAGGTTGGGACCCTGAAGGGCTGCACCTTAGGACAAGCATGAATTGGAACTAGGCCTGCCAGTACAGTACAGCTTAGTATCACATCATCTCAGTCTCTCACATAGAATTAAAGTGATTCCAAAGTGTTAATGTTCCCAAGTATATAGCCAAAGCAAAAGTAAATACTCCCTGGAAGAAGATAATACTTTAAGCCTCCCACATTCAACCAAAAATAAGAAGGACTGTTAGGAGACAAGACAGCATAGACAAAAACCAGCAAAGGATAGAGATATATCAAAAAAAGGCACGAGATATTGACGTTATATAGTTCACTTACTTAAAAAAAAAAGCTATTCTTTCTATGTTTCACGGAGATGATTAAAAAAAAAAAAAGATTGAGGATTTTGAGAGAATTGGAAAGTAAAAAAGAACCAGTAGGGGTTCTATGACTGAAAAATACAGTAACTGAAATTAAAACCCAGTAGATGGGTTTAGCAGCAGACAGAAGACAATATCCAGAAAATCTACAGATTCGGTTCTTAAGAAACTGAAATCATTATTTTTGATAGGTGTGCCCTTATACAAGCAGTTAAGTCATTTCATTTATCGACACTGGGTTTATTAGCTTAGAGGGCACATTTAGATTGTAGCATTGATCAAAACTAACTTTTGAAGGAAAAAAAATAGGAAAGGTGGCTTTTTTCAGACTAACAATACTTGTACAGAGCTAGAATTGTGACTTCATTTGCAATCTTGAATACTCAGACTAACACGACTTGTACAGAGCTAGAATTGTGACTTCATTAGCAATCTTGAATACTCTAAAGCTCATTATATCAGGGCATCAGCGGAGAGAAATCATTTTCTAAAAGTTACTGTATGTTAAAGCCATACCCTGGGCATGGTGTAACTGTGTAACTGAAGCGTGTCCTAATAGCTCCCCTAGTGCTCAAGTATACTTCTGGAGTTTTTGCACATTGATTTGCATTTCTTATATAGGCGGTGTGAATTGCATAACTTACTAGGTTTCCCTCTTCTCATTAGCAACTAGAGAACTTTATAACTAAATTTATGGCCTATTCTTAGCAAACTTTGTATCATGTATTTTAATGTTAGCCTTATTTCTGACTACATTTTGTCTTTTTTTTCTTTACCTTGTCATTTATACCTGGTTTTAGTTTATATTGTGTCTTATCATTCTTTATAAAATACTTCATTCACTTTTAAATGGGGACACCCAGATGATGAAACTTTAGATGTTTTTAAGGATTACTTTTAAGTTATTTGGAAAACTTCCCCTTTTGGAACACTTTTTTTTTTTTTTAATTTCTTCCATCATATTGCCAGGCACGTGAGGTACTACTGTATTGTTTCCTTAAGACAGAGTGAATTCTTTAATTACTGGAGAACTTTTATGACATGCACCACGTAAAGCATTATTCAACAGTCGCAGCTCTGCCTGTTAGAGACGTGGCCAGTGTCTTGCCAGTGCACTGTTTCTGTTGTCAGTTTTTATCATTGGTTGCTATTCTTGAACCAGATGTAGGTATGGAGTTACTGTGTTTATTTTGTTCATCATCTGTAAACTTACATTGTGGAACTATGTTACAGATGGCTTATTAAAACATAGGTTTAGTGTTTTCAAACTGAGCTGTGTTCCCTTTGTTTTAAAAAAAACACACAAAATTTCATAACTTAGAACAAAGTAGAACATACCAGAGTGCATCACATGTATTCACTAGATCTTATAACTTGTTCTTTGTGTTGTAATGTTTCCTTGCTGTGCCTTGTAGTCAAAAAAACTTTGAAAACCACTAGTTTGAGAGAGTCACAGTTGTCAAAACACGCATTTCTAAGTCTATTAACTCTTGGCTATGAATAACCCATACCTTAATGGTAGTTCCTCTGGGGGAATGTAATAGTTCAGTAACTAAAAGTTAAATAAAAATATGTATGGCTGAAGTAGAAACTCAGTTAAGTAGATTTTTCTAATACAGTGAATATTCACTTCAGTGAATGTTAAAGAGAGTAAAATGTCTAGTGTCAGTTAAGAAAACTGGGCTTTTACACAGCTTTTCTTTGTAAGTTGGATGTGTACTAGTTGAAATGTGAATAAGCAGATTTCATTACATATAAATTTTAGAGATGTGAAATCTTATCTGGGGCTGAAAAGGTCGTGTTGGCAGTTCAGTGTGTTACAGATGCTTGGTCAGTGTATGACGATGCTATCTAAACGGCAGGCATCAGCGGTTACTAGACTGGATAACTGAAGGACAGCTCTGAGCAACAACATGATAAAGGAACTTCTCCTCCTGAACCTGTTTCCTCAGGCACACAGTGAAGTTACCCAGTCTGCCGAGGTGGTGTGAGAATCTGGCTGACCTGCCTAGCATGCAATAAAATGCTCAACTATCATTTTTTTTCCTATTTTATCTGTTTTAATTTTTAGGGTTCTCATTTGGGATGCTTTAGTGTTAGATTTAAAAAAATTTCAAGTTAACTTCCTTATAGACAACTTACACTTTTATACTTATATCTCATAACTTATTCTGTGTGTTGTAGTAAGATTTTGCTTGTATGGGGAACGGAGACTGAGGGGAGAGGGCATGAGGGGGCAGTTTACAGATAGTCTCAAAAATACCTAGATAAGTAAAGAGGGCTAGTTTGAAACCTGCTAAATATGTGTGGGATGAAAACTTGCCTTTTCCAATCTCAATCAGTGGTTTGAATATTTTACTTAAGTAGGTAGAATTAAAAATAAATTCTTACATACTATCAGAACCTTGAAGACTAAAATTTTATTATGGTCTGTAAAATTTCACTAACTGCCATTACTTTTTTATCCACAAGAGGGAGAGCTTAGACTTGGTGATAATTTTAGATTTTTATCTCTGTAGTTTTCAATTCAGGTGACATTAAAGACAATAGAAAAAAGATCTAGTTTTCAGTTTAACCGAATTTATAAGCAGTCTTCATTAAATTGAATTGGAAAATGTACTGTACACTGCTTTAACATCTCTATTGTAATTGGTTTTTATTTTACATGCCTAGCTATCTATGAAATAATTCTTAGATGCGTTTGTTATTTCAGTGCCCATGTACTGTCTTCAGCATTTGCTTTTCTTTTCTCCAAGTCAGATAGTAATTTACTGTCTCATGCCAATAATAATAAAACCAACTATTTTTAAACTGTATTATTCATATCATGACTGCCCACCTGAATTAGCACGTGTACAGTGTTTACACTTACTGCTCTGTAGTATGAGTAACTCTTTGGAAAGCATATCGAATGCCCAGAGTTGCACCAAGGAGCCAACAACTCTCTTCACACTTAAGACAGGTTCCTATATGAAACATTCATTGTAGCAAACATCTCAAATGTTTACTGGCAAAGCAAAGGTGGTTAACTAATTTTTGTGAAGTAATCACTTCCCACCTATCAGAAACCTGCAAAAAGCCCTGTGATTGTGATTTTTTAATACACTAAAATGAGACTAATCTTCCCAAAAAGCAAAAAAAAAAAAACACCCCAATGTTAGTAAAAGCAGAGTATAGAGTTTATTCTGCTGCTTTTGAAAGAATTAGTCCGAGTGGAATGGAAATATTTTCACCCCCCCAAAAAAAGGTATTTAACTTTACATAATTCAGAATAATTCAGTTTTTGAATGTACCTGTTGCTTCCTTAATTGGAGTAGGATATTAGATTTCGTTATCAGGGATGTTATCCCCTTGAAGTCTGTTTAAAGGTTTTTGTTTATGGTTAAGCATAAATTTAAGTATGAGGTCATATACGTTTGTGTAATTTGATTTCTATACTACTGAAAATACACTATCTTTAAGAGGTAATAATGATTGTTTGAATGCTATTAGATCCATTATTCCTACATTTAATAGTTTATGCGTTCTTGTGCAAATAATATGTTGAAGATTTCAATTCACAGAGTTGGCAGCTGAGAGCCTAAAAAGAAGAAAATCATGAATATAACAATATGTTTAAAATGGAAAACTGAAACCTGTAAACATTAGGTTTAAAGTACCTCATTTATAGTTTGTTATAAAAATATTACAGGCATTTGTGAAGTTTTTACTTCTGTTTCACTGAATCTTCCCTTTCTAGATTCTTTTCCCTTACCAGGAAATCATCTGGCTCTTCATGTCTGGAGCTGTCATGTCACATTGGTTTAGAACCAACAATATGAGACAGCCCAGTCAAACATAAAAGAATGTAATGTATGAAACCTAAGTTTATTTTAATGTGGGCTTGGGTATACATTTACCAATTGACATACTGTTTTAATTCACATCATCAAAAGGGAATGATTAGGAGATAAACACAAATGTAAAATCATACATGAATGAGTGTAACTTTATTCTTGATCGGATTTGCAAGTAAGGAGCATATTTCTTACTATTAATTATATTTAAACCACTGTACATACTAGGCTACAAAAAAAAAAATCTCAATTCTGAGAAGAAATCTAGAAGAAACTCTTGTTGGTTAGAAATTTTCTTTTATAATACCCTTCTGTTTAATACAGTGCAGGTAATTGCTAGAGATCAGAAGGACAAGTTATTCTTATGAGATCTTTTCACTTATTTTAGTGCCCTAATTAAATATTCAGTTAAATTATTTAATGAGGAATTTTTAATGTATATATTATCTCAAAATTAATTTTAGCAGAAATACAGATCTGCTTATTTCTCTTTTAAAGTTGTTCCCTTCTGTCCACAAAGAGAATAATGACCATTTTTTTGGAAACCTGTATTTCAGTGATAATATGCAGCATGCATACTGGGAACTGAAGAGAGAAATGTCTAATTTACATCTGGTGACTCAAGTACAAGCTCAACTACTGAGAAAACTGAAAACCCCAACTGCAATCAAGAAAGGCAAGTCACTGTTTGCCGGAAACCACTGATTCCAGCCAAACTGTTTGAAAAGCAACTAGCTATTGTATCTTATCAAAATCTCATCAGATGAGTTTGATAAACCAAAATATATGTAGTAAGTTCCCAGCCTGCCTATTCTCTGCTTTGGCTTCAGTCTCACACTGGTCAGCTTCGCACATAAAGGTGTTGCTGATGTGTTTTCTCTCAGTACTGTATTCTTTCCCCTTGTGGCTTCTTTCTCAGCCAGGTGTTGCTTATGTGTATAAGGCTGAGGTGTTAAGTTTGCTCTCGTTGACCTTTAACCACAACTACCTCATATATTACAAAAAAAAAAAAAAGGACACCAAATGCTGTTTTTCATTCCAGGGCTACAGAATACACCAAAGACCTACCTTTTTAAACTGTTTAAAAAATAATAATTTTGATTTTTTTGGTTGGGTTGTTTTTTTAACCAGACATTGCAAACTTAATTGTTCTTTCCATAAAAGCCACATTGTTTAGAACAGAGACTAGTTGCTTTCTCCCCATCCCCTTCTACCCAACAAAATTTTCAGGGCTTTGCCTTTCTTTCATAGTTAACTGCTTAACTGATCAAAATTCTTGAGTTTTGTCTAACAAGTTGTGGGTACATTGTCAGAGCTATTTTTGTATCTCAGAAAAATTAGTGCATTTTTACCTCAAATTGCATAATGGGTATATATCTCAAAAGTTGTGTAATACAAATTTGAGTGCCCTAAAATTTACTTTTTAAAGAAATGTGACTTTTTATGAAAAATAATCACTACCTAATTGTGTTTATAAATATGTTACAGGAAAATGTTACATATTGGGAAAGAAAACAATTCAGAATAGGGGATATATTCCTTGAAGTTTCTGGAGAGTTGCTCATGAATCAGACAACATACTGTGGTATTTTAGCAGGCGCAGTGGTTAAGAGAGAGCTATGGCTGCTAACCAAAAGGTTGGCACTTTGAATACACTAGCCGCTCCTTGGATGCCCTATGGGGCAGTTCTACTCTGTCTTACAGGTCGCTATGGGTCGGAATTTTGACTCAGTGGCAACAGGTAACAGGTAGCTTACTTCCTGGTTAAGTTTGAATTCCCCAGTGGTGAGGATTCTGTCTGAGGAGACCATAAGTTGATGGTGGAAATAAAACTTCTTAATAGAGACTCAGAGTAATTTTACATGGAGTTTTTAGTGTGGCTATTTGCTTATGGAATAAATATGAGGAAAAATGCTTTTTCCATACTTGGAAATAACTCATTGTTTTGTCCCTTCCAAGCTGGTGAGTGATATATCTTCTGGTGCTTTGGACCATAAGTTTCCTAAGCGCATTTTCATGAACATCGGCAGGCTCAAGGTCATAACCACTCACCACAGAGCTCACTGCTATACTAGATCACCTTCTTTCCCTGACCTACATACCACCTTTATCCAGAAGCTGAACGCTGTTATTTCCAACCCTCCCCTGCCCCTGTCTCTACCTCCCAGAAGAAGCCAATGAGGTATTATAATGTGGTTCAACTTGTTTCTTGTAAAACCACACAGAGTCAAGCCTTAGTTTCACTTGGCATCTTTCTTGAACTCAAAATTAATTTATCTTTCCCACCCTGGTAGGTTAAGCTGAATGGGGAGAAAAAACTTACACTACCATTATGCTGGCAATGACTAAATAATAGATATAGAGCAGTCTTAGTTTTCTAAGCCAGTGCATGTGTACTAAACACATTTTTTGACTTTTTTTTCCAGTTGACCAGAACAGAATTTACATTTATTATTTATATATCTTTACAGGAAACAATTATTTTAAAGCTTTTATTTAAACTATCTTTATCCACAAAAGCCTTTGAATATACATTAAAACTTATATAAAACTTCATTTGGGTCTTACCAATTCACAACATAATGTAATTATTTGTGAAATAAATGTATTTCTGGACCACCTATGTATTTCTGGACCACCTATGGATAAAAGGTTTGAATAAGGAAAAGAATACTATATTTAGCTAAAAAATATTATAACTTAAGAACCACCTTCTTAATCCCCACTGACACGTCAACAGTCCTCAAGTCTCTTCTCTGAGCCATGATAAAAGCCAAGAATAGGACCTTGACTTGTATTTTAACTTAGTTTTCAACCATTAAATGAAATTCTTCATTCCTCCTTAGTGCTCTTTGATATAGGTGAGACAGGAATACCTGAACCCACTTTACAGATGAGGAGAGTGACACTTGGAGCAGTTAAGTGACTTACGTGAAGCCACAATGTCAGTAAATAGCTGATCCAGGATTAGAACTTCCAGGTCACAGTGCTTCAGTCATCCAAATTAATGAAGTGTTACAGTGTTTTATGATCACAAATACCTTGAAAACTGACATCTAGCCTGTGCTTTCCTTTTAGCCTGTGCCCCGGTAGGATGTGTTGAAGACCTTGGGAGAGACAGCACAAAACTGCACTTGACAAATTTTACTGCAACGTACAAAAGACATCCTCCTCTCTCACCAAATGGCAAAGCCTCTTCTCATGCCACATCTTCTCCTTTGCCAGGCGATACAAAGATTTTATCAGAGAAAGCAATTCTCCAATCATGGACAGATAATGAGAGAACCATTCCTTGTGATGGTACAAACTTTCAGGAACACAACTCCTATGGCAGAAATTCCCTGGAAGATAATTCTTGGGTGTTCCCAAGCCCTCCTAAATCAAGTGAGACAGCATTTGGAGAAACTAGAAGCAAAATTTTGCCTTTACCCAACCTGCCACCACTGCATTACTTGGATCAACATAATCAAAACTGCCTTTATAAGAGTTAATTCTGAAGAGATTCATGATTTGGCCAAAAGGATGCTGTATCTCCCTCATTGGTTCTCCCCAAGAAATTATTTAACAAAGTGAAAGTGGATTTTGATTAAAATTTTGCAGTTTTTCAGTATATATACATTTGTACATACTGTATCATAATTATGTAATTAATTTTGAATACCCTCCAGCTCCACATTCTGGCAAAGAATCAGATAAATGCTACTAATAAATTACTTAAGGTGTTTCAAAAAGACTGTTTTTTCCTTTGATTACAGTTGTTCTGAAGTTCAGCCTCTCAGATAAAGAATGGAATTGGAAGTTTTTAGACTGGCTTTACAAAGCGTGTTGATATGCCTAAATATATTCATTTATAAAAATACTCAACGAGGTCAATCTATGGACTCGTGTAAGTTGTTTCAAACTGCATGAAAGTAAAGGGCAATGTGAATAGGTTTATTTCTGCTGACCTTACGATACATAAAGATAGGAAAAATATTACAGTGGAATAATATTACAGTGGAATAATAGTATCTAGGTTATTCCATCTCTATATGCCATTGTGTTTAAAATTTAAAATTGCTTCTTAATCACAATATTGTTTGTTAATAGTTTTAGAATTGCAATTTGATTTCTAAGATTCAAAATCACTTGATCATGGAAGTCAACTTTGTCCCGGTACATTCTTCAAGTCATAATTGAAAAATATGATGGAATAGTTATAAAACTGTGTTGTGTGAATAAATTCTTATAAACTTATACATCCAATTAGAAGTAGAAAAATTAACAAAGATTTCACTCTGATCTGTCCCTTTAGTGGTCCACAATGAAAATCTAAATATATGTGTATAATTGTATAAAGTCATCTTCTCCAGAGGGACTACAGCTGCTTATAGAACGGCTTACAAATACTGGGCTTTATTTTGAAATACAACATTTTACTCATGTAGGTGATTTTTAATTAATTGAATTAGGAATTTTAATTCTAGAAATCAAATTTTGTACCATACTGAGACAGTACAATCATGAAATGTCCCAAATCTTTCATTCTAGGCCTATCATTTATAAACAAGTAAGGAAATCACAAAAATGGCTTCACATGGAAATTTATGGGGGAATCTAAACTTCAGGGTGGAGGTATTAAGAATATTAACAATATAATGTATTACTTGCTTCATATACCTTTCGCCTGGGCATGAAGTGTTTCATGTAGGGGGCCTTCATTCTTTTTGATAGACTGTTTCCTATCTCTTGAACTCAAAACAGTATCTCAAATCTCTTCTGCTGTATTACTGAGTAGCATACATACATAAACAGTGCTCACTGTTCACGAGATATTTTCATCTTTCTATTATCTTATTCAAGCTCATCTGTGATTAATGGAATTTGTGTCAGATGCTGGAATTTATTCTGACCAATGAACACAGCTGACTCAAGGGGAGTACAATCTCTTGCCAACTAATAGAACAAAACTCAATATGCATAAAACAAATACCAGGCTCCAAGCTTTAGCTGAAAGAAGCAACTACCTGTGTAACAACAAAGCAGCAGAAACCATTTCTCATGTGGCTGCATAGGCTGTATATGATATCTAATCTCCAACATAGCTTACTGGTTTGCCTTTTTTTTAAACCAAATTGGAAACTTTCCTTTGTAAAGAAAATTAAGTCTTACGAGATAATGTCTTGATTAATGTTTTGAACAATGCGAAGAACTGTTTCATTAAAATAAATTATTTTTGTTTGAAATTGAAGTGGGTGTGAAATATTGTCCTTGCCTGTGTATTCCAAGGTCAAGCACTAAAATTTTAGTTGTTAATCTGATTCATATAACAGACATTTGTCTTGCTAATCTTTAAACCAACTTCCTTTGGGGAAAAGCTTTTCCATCTAAACAACAATAATACCTATCAAACAGGTATGCTAGAAAGTCAGTGGTTGAATGTTCTTCACAGTTTAAGTGCTAAATAAACATGTAAGACTCTTTAGTAAGAAAAGGTTAACCAAAAAAATTTTTATCCCCATCAGAAATTTCTGAATGTACACTCTTAAGTACTAAGATTAAAAAATAAATGAGTGGTCTCTCAGTACCTTAAAATCGGTTTAAAATTGAAACATTTATGTAGACCTCTTCCATACTAGCTAAGACTCGCTCCAAAGAGATTCCCTTGAATATCTCTAATCTTCAGATTTCTTTTTATAGTGATAAGTCAACACATCCATAACTCAACAGAATGAACAGAAAGATAGCTAACAACAAAAAAGCCACCTATTCCTTTTGATCCCTTATTAGCTAAAACAATATTTACATCTTCTCTAAAAGGACAACTTTTTATTGAGGAACTGAATTCACAAGTAGAGCAAGAACATACCTATGTGGGAAAAATTAGAAAACAAAAATAGGGGGGAAATCAAAGACTTATCCAGATCTTATCCAGAAAGGCTACTTGGAGAAGGTAGATCTTTAGGGGTAGAAAACCTGTGGATTGCCACTTACTAGGGAATAATCTAAGCAGAGGCACAAATAAGCAAGTATGACACATCTGAGGCATACACACAAGTCAGAGAAGTAGACGCAAGTATGGATGGGTAGGTATTCTGAAAACTATGTTGAGTGGTTTTGTTTTTGATATGATAAAGAGGTATGAATACATCATGCTACACAACCTAATAGTCTAGTGCCTATGGGGAAAGTGACATTTCCCTATGGGGAAAGTGACATTCCACATAAAATTGAAGACGGTCCCTTTGATTTTAATCTAAATTGTAAAATAGTGACAGATCATATAGTTCCCTAGCTTCTAAAAAGTAACTTTTTTGGTTTTCTTCATTCAGACCATCATTAAAAACAAGAACTAAGGTCCTGTGTTCCAGGAAATACACCAATGCCAAAAGGCCAACAAGAATACAGACTTGTGTGCCCCTATGCTACATGGTCTCTAGCTTTCTACATTTACTTTGCTTTTGCCTGGTGTAGTAATCTTCCTCCTTTTGCTCTGTGACATGGGAAAATGTGGCTTCTATTTCGAATAAGAGTAGTTTTCTGAGGGATTCACTGAGTAAAATGTGGAACTTGAACAGCCATTGGTCCTTTAGGGTCTTATTTGCTTTAACTAAGTTTTTTATAAAAAATAATCAGATCTATTTCATGGGAATGGGGCCAAAGTTAAAACTTGTCCTAGTGTGCAGTAATTTCTGTGATTTTAATGAGGACTGTGTAAATATGCTAAGATTTACCAATTTTGAAACTGGTTAGAATCAGGTATAATAGCTGTGGTGAATGTGAATTAATGGGGAAAAAAGAGCAACTTTTAACTGCTACACTGGGACAAATTTTTTATACTAGCTCCTGAGACCATTAGTGTGTTACAAAATGGTAATTCATGTTTATGAAGAAGACCTTTTAAAATGAAAGGTTAAAACATTTTCAGTAGCCAAGTTAGCAGGTCAAGGAACGTCATAATGCAAAGATGTAAGTAAAATTAATTCATGTAAGTACTTTTATTTATGTTTCTAAATAAGGCTTTACTATTACTAATAATGACTAACAAAGAGCATTTACCGTGTCTGAGGCACTGTTCTATACACTTAACTTACCTGCAATACTCAGTAAACCCTTACAACCATGTGAGACTCTTAATCCATGGTTGCATAGCTAAAAAAGTGGTAGAACCAGGGAGGATTTGATTTCACCACTCTGCTGTACTGTCTAGTTATTAGCACCTCTGAAGGCCGTCCATTCCTGCTTTGCTTTAGGTTTGGTTTCTGTGAATATCCTATACAATGGAAGAGAATACTGTAAGATCAACATGGAACTCTAAGAATTAGCATCACTGTTGTAGAACTATGGTTCTGGAAAAATCTATTAAAAATCCAGAATGATCAGAAAAACCATATCCCATTTCACTAATTACTCCTAGCCCATTAATAAACTGGAATTTTTGAAATAAAAAAAAAAAACAAAACTTTATTTCGGACAAAATTAACATTTCCATAATTTAGGATAAAGCAAAAAACACTTCCTTGATTCCATTAATAGAGTGATTGTGCCTTCTGTAAATACAAGAATTCCTGAAGGTCATTTAAATATTTGCCTACATGCTTGTGGGAAGCTTCTGTAGCCTTTTCTTGGCAGGAATTCCAGTTTTTCTGAATTCTTCCCTTTCTTTCAGGTATTCCATTTTGCACTCTTCATAAAAAGCTGGATCATTATAGCTACAAAAAAGAAAAGAAAATCTCCCTTTAAAATGAATGAATAACTTTGCAAGCTTTTAATATAACCTCACTTTAATAATATTCAGGCATCTAGTTCATCAAGCTCAATCTTTTTTTTTTTTTTTAATTGTTATAATTAAATGAAGTTTACATTTCAAGGTAGTCTCCCACAC